TCAAGTTCAAGTGATGAAGATGATTCAACAACAAGTTCATCAAGTACATCGACTGATGATGATGATGATGATGATGATGATAATGATGATGAACAAATTGATGAAGAATCTGATGATAATTTCACAACATTAACTCCAAAACAAGCACATTTATTTCTTGAAACTAAACGTAAAAATCTCGGTAAACGTTTATTAGAATTACGTGACGAATTAAAAGCACAACCACAAGCTGATATTGATAAAAAAAAACGTTTATTAACTGAAATAAAAAATTTACGTGAAAAATGGATTGCTGTACAAACACGTTTAACAAATCTTAAAGCAAGACTTAGTCATAGTCCAACACCAGAACGTGAAATTATTCGAAAAACAATAAATAAAAAATCTGAAGAAATTATTCAACCAGAAACAAGAATTATTCCACCACCACGTTTAAGAATATCATCACCATCATATAGTTCATCTAGTCGTTCAAGATCTACATCAACAGAATCAATGTAATGAATAAAAAATTATAAATTTTTTATCTTTTTTTTTTGTCATTATCATCAATTTTATTTATTTTAGACGATCAACTGAAAAACCTTATCAGGATTTAGATGCATTAGATGATATTGATAATTCAAAAACTCGTGATTTACTTTCATCTCGACCAACAACATCTTATCGTGATCTAACTGATGATCGTTCATTATCATCATCATCATCTCCACCACCATCATCTAATCAAATTCCATTATCAAATCTATCTTTAAATGAACCAAAAATATTCGATGAAAATATTGAAGAACAAGAAGATAATACAAGTTCAAAAGAAACATTTTATAATCAAATTATTCCATATCCTATTGTTAATGATAAACGTGATCTTGAAGTAATAAATCGACAATTAAAAAATCAATTACGTGAATTAGAAGCAAGTAAAAATAATCCATTATATGATCCACAATCAAATTTAATTAATTATGAACGTTTAAAAAAACAAAATGAATATATTAATTTAAGAATTAAAATTGAAAAATTAAAAAGAACTAAAACAAAAACACAACGTGAAAAAGAACAAAATAAAAAACAATTTCATATGCTTTTACAAGTATGTTAAACTAAAAAACACAAAAAAAAACAAATAACAATAAAAATGATTTTTATTTTTATTAAAGGAATTTCGTAAACTTCAACGTTTTATGCGATCAGCTAATCGAGAATATTCTAATAATCAATTTTTAACAATGAATACAGAAAATTTTTCATCATCAATACCACTTCCACCATCACCAGAAGTTAAACAACAAGAAGAAATACAATTACCACCAATAGATTTACATAAAGTTACAGGGAAAAAGATTCTTTTTGAATCATCAGATTCTGATGAAGACGAAGAACCTACATCTGAACCTCAAGTTCCTGTTTCACTATCTGTTAGTGAACCACGTGCTGTACCTGATGGTTTTAATCAAATGCAACCACCACCATTACCAATCCCATCAAGTTCTTCATCATCAGCTACTCTCGATGCAATTAAAACTCGTGTTGCTAATTTAATTAATGCACCAGTTTCTTCATCATCTCAAATCAATGAATCCATCACAACAACTCAAGTCGTCGACGATGATGATGATGATGATGATGACAATGTTCAACCAATAATTAATCTAGAAAGAAATCAAGCTATATCAGCAAAATTTAATAGAAAACGAAGAAAAGCTAAAAGAAATAAACATAAGAAAAAAAATCAGAATACACAACCAATACAACAAATAATAAATGATAATGAATCAACAGTTATTGATCAAGAAGAAGCATGGAAACGACATGTAGCTATGCAATTACAGTTTAGTTTTTTAAAAAGATCAAATCCTATTTTACGTGCATTAACAGCTGAAGCACATAAAAAATTAGGTGTCAGCCAAGACGAAGTTAATGGTAAGAGTAGGACTCATTGTTTTCTTTTTTTTTATTTATTTTGTCTACGACTAAGTTGCTATAGTAGTAAGAAAAATTTACATTAATGATACTTCTCAAAGGATATTTTTATTTCAATACGATAAAATTATTTTTCCTTTGTGAAATTTTTAATGAGTTAAGACCTAAAAATTGTCAAAGTCTAATGTTCATTTTTATTAGACTGACGAGAGAACATTCTCAGAAATCTTCATTCTTGTGAACTTAAAGGAAAAGAAAGATCATAAATTTGAATGTTTTCAGATTTTTCTAAGTTCCATAGAGATTATATTTATAGTCAAAATATAAAGTCAAACATCATTCGAGTCGTTGTCTGTAAATATTTTCTAATGGAGATAATTTTTTTTTTTTAAGAATTTCAATTCGATGATGAAATGATGGATTATGAAACTGCACTTATTTTACAACAACAACAAGAATTTTTAGCTGCTGCTGCTGCCAATCCATTTAATGTTTTACATAATGCTGCAGTTGGTAGTTCATCATCAAGACCTAATTTAGTTGATATTCTTTCAAATTTAAATGGTGGTATAACACCATCATCATCTGAACCTCAAACACCAATGGGTTTATTACAAAAATTTTTTCTTGATGCTAATAATAATCCAAATGCTGAACATCGAAAAAATCTTAATTTTAATGATTTATCAACAACACCACCTACTCCACCATCACCACGTGATATTTCTCTTGGTAGAAAAATTGTTGAATCATTAACACATCAAGATATAAATGCTTTACTTAAATTAAGTGGTAGTGAACATGATGATGATGATGATGACGATGATGATAATAATAATCCATCAATTGATGGTGATACAGATGATGATACAAATAATTTTTCTATTGATGAAGATTCAAATGATATACCAAATGGTAATTATAATAATAAAAATTATGAACGATGGGAACGTCCTACACCTATTCCACCACGACCAACACAATCATCTAGTATAAATAATAAAAAATCAACAATTGAAACATTAATATTACCAAGTTTTAATCGTTGTACACATTTGGGTAAATCAACAAAACGATCAGCTGGTGTTGAACGTATGTTTCCATCGTTTTCAAAACATAATGCTGGACCATCGTCAACACTTAGTTTAATTCTTTATGGATTATCATCAAATCCTTGAATAATCCTATGTATCTTTGTTTTTTTTTTGTCTTGTTTTGTTCTCGTATTATTAATATGTCTTTTGTTATGTAATACATTTCTTTGATCCTGTTTTTTGTATCTATATATGTGTATGGTCTACTATATTTCTTTGTTTTTCAGATGTATATCAGCCATGAAAATGTAATTTTATAATTGTCTTGTATTGGTCACATCAATTAAGTAAGTTTACAAGAAAAAAAATAGGGTTCGAAATATTATTTTGTTTCTGACGTAAAATAGGCTTCTATGAAAGTAGAGAAAGTCTAAGATAATAAAGAATCATAAGTTGAACTTTGTGAAGTTATAGTCGTTTTTCTTAAGATGTTGACATATTAATATTGATACAACAAAAAAACATTGAATGAAGGGATCTTGTTCATTATCATAGTTTTCTTTTGGCTTCATTCATGAGGAAAAGAAGGTCTCCTAAACTTAGGAAGAAAGAATTTACAAATGAAAAGCTTTTCTCTGTTTCAGAAAAAGTAGTTAATTCTTTTTCCGAAACAGAAGTGAAATATTTTCTTTATGATACAAAGTCGATTTTCCTTGAATATTCGGAATAATGATTTTCTATTCCAGAGCAAATCAAGAATTCTCTCTGAAAACTACGAAAACAGTTTCTCCACATGTATACTTTTCCTATATTTGCTTTATAAGAAACACCGCAAAATCACTATATAGTGGTCAATAAAAACTTTCAGAGAGAAAGGTTAGAAGTAAGAGAAAATTTAGGACGGGAAAATCATCGCACTTCCCACCCCTAATCATATAGCCTGTTCATTATTGCTCTTCAAGATCTTCTAAAATTTTCCGGTAAGACTAATGTTAATTTCTCGAGATGTTTAATAACTTAGTAAAACTCGATTTCTTCCTATCTAAAGAGATACTGTCAAATACTACTGAGAAACATGCGATGATGGCTGTTATTTTTTTGTTTTGAATTATTCAAACAACTTCATGCTATGAGAAACTGATAGCACTGTCAAATTGGCCGTTACTATTGCACAATTATTTCCATCATTCTATATCATCTAAAGATTTTTCTGAAAATTCAATAAATCAGAATAAAGAAATATGTCTTCTAATTGGCATCTTCAGAGAATACAAAAATCTATTGTATTCAAATACTTATTGTTTCTTTACATATGAAATCTTTTTCTAGTTTCATCGACATCTACTTCTACCAAGTGAAATATCAATGAAAAATTTTTCATTATAACTTAAAAATAAAACCAAACTTGAATGACTTACACCTACGAGCAAAAGTTTTTCTCGTCTCCTCTCTCATTCTTTTCGTATCGAATCCCTTTCACCTCAGGTAAATGTAGATTACAAGAATGGCTTAAATACTGTATTTTAGTATAGTATATGATTGATAACAACCTACTTCAATGCAGAATATACATCACTCAATACAATTGGTCAATACTGCAAATGAATTGGTTGATAGAATATTTCATAGCTGGATTATTTTTTTTTAAATTTTTTCTGAATGTTTTACTAGTTTTACTTTTTCTTTATTTGTATAGTCAACTATATCACAGTCTCAGAAAAGCTTTGAGTTGACGTTGAAGAGAAATTAGTGATCCAAGCCAGTAGAACAGTTAGCGGATACAAAAAAAGAGATAACCTACTCGTGAAATATTCTGTCGACCAACACATTTGTAGTATTGCTCAATTGTATTGAAAGATGTATTTTCTTCATTGAAGCAAATTATCATCAATCATACACTACATTATAATAAAGTACTTCAGACATCCTTGTTGCTAGCATTCACTTGAAAGTAAAATGGTTTGATACGAAAACAATGAGAGAGTAGAAGGAAGATTTTTGTTCAGGAGTGTATATGAATTGTTTGTCTTTTTTTTTTGCAGAATGACATCGAATACTATAATTACGGAAAACTCTCCTACTACTAACGGTCAAATATTATCTACAAAGAATAAATTAAATGAATTTTATTCACCATCACTAAATATTTCTCGTTCATCATCATTTTCATCTATACATTCATCATCATCATCTTCATCTTGTTTATCAAATAAACCAAATTCAGATTCTTCTATAAATAAAATAAATTCTAATTCAACATTATCTTCTAATCATCGTAAAGAATCAACATTAAAACTTCCATATCCAGTTTTATCTGATCATCGTGATCCATCATCAATACTTATTTTATTACAAAAAGAAACTCAAACAACATCAAAAAAAATATCCAATGTTATTAAACAAATTGATGATTATGAACAACGTTTAACATTAAATATGTATACAGATAATGAAAAGAAAACTTTTAAATATGAACGTGCTAAATTAAAACAACAATTAGATGCATTAAAAAAACATGAACGTCGTGTTAATTTACAAATTGATTTTATAACAACTAAAACAGAAATAAAAGGTTTAGAAGATGAACAAAAACAAATTGAAAATAATCAACATTCAGATGAAAGTCAACAAATAAAAATTTTATTAGGAAAATTAAAACAAAAATTAGATAAAATGAAAATTTATATGAAAACAAGAAATGAACAAATGAAAAAAATTAGTAATACTAAACAACATTTAACTACTTCAAATAATAATCGAAAATCATCATTATCATCTAGTCAAAAACAACAACATTTTTGTTCATCATCAATAAAAGATTTGGTAATATGCCATATTATTTCAATAAATTAACTGATTAAAACTCAATAATAAATCATTGATTTTCAATTCGATAGATCTTTATATCTAAGTCAAAAAGTTGATTTTTTCTAGAGATATACACGGTAGAGTAGGATAATGGTTTTTATAATAATTGTTTTTTAGAGTTTATTTTAAAGAAAACAAATTTAATTAAATATTTGTTTAGCATTTCTTTTGATATGAAATTTAAGGTCTTTTTTTTTCATCTGAAAATTCTGTTATTATAAGACTAGAGAATTCGTGATGGTTCTAAAATAATACAGCGATTCAGCTATATTATTAAATTTCATATGATGATAAATCATTGTAAAATATCAAAATTTCGGTTCTAGAACAAAAAATAGATTTTATGACAATCTATATTTATAATTATAGAATCGAAAACGTCCTCCAACTTCCGTAGATAATTGTCATTCGAATAAACGTTTAAAACCAACAGTACCTGTTGTTCGTTTAACATCTCGTGTAACAAGTCATGATTCAAAAAAACATTCAACACAACCACCAATTGTACGATTTATTAATAAAACAACAGATTCAACAATTACAACAATCAATTCAGCATCTCCAACAACACCAGCATCATCATCAACTTTATCACCACCTTTAATTGCAAGTACAAGTCGTGGAGATACAAATAATATTCAAAATTCTCTAGAACAGGTAAGTAGTATTGTATAATAAAAAATTTTATGACTTTAATTGTTTCTTTTTTTAGAATGAAATTCCCTCAGTTGATGATGATGATGATGATGATGATGATGATAATGAACTTAATCTTGAACTTGATATGAATGAATTATTTAATGATGATTCATGTTCACAACAAACAATACAAAGAGTAAAAGCTAAACGAAACGATATAACATGTCAACTTCAAGTCAAACAGAATACCTAACAACAAAGAATCAGAAAAGAAAATGAAAATGTATATAAATCTTCTTCGTTTTTTTTTTGTATGTAATCAAATCTCGTTTTGTTTTTGCCCGGTCCGTTTTCGTTTTGTTTATTACTATGAGCTACTATTATTTTTTTTTTTTAAACTTGTCATTGTTCTATTCATGGATCTAGATGATGATCACCTTTCTTTTTGTTCTACTTTCTTTGGTATAATCCATTTGTTCTGTCACTTGTAGTCGTAAAAAAAAACATAAACCATCATTGTCATTGTAAAATATTTGACATGATAATTAAAAACATAAAACGATTGTTTTATCGTAATGAAGGAATATTTTTGACATTGCTTTTATAGATTATTCGTTAAAGGAAAAATGCAATTGATCCATCAGCATCAATTACAAAAAAAAAACATTGCGTACATTTGATTTACAGACAATGGTAAAACAAAACAAGCTTAGTTGCTCAAGAACGAAAAAAAGTTGATTGGATGATAAATCATGTATTATATCTCGTTCCATGTAATTATACGAGTTAGTTAATCAGCAAATATTATTAATCTATGTGAATTATTATCCTGTCGATTAAATAGAGAAGATTCAGTAGACATAGTTTGTTTCTTATATTGATCAGATTTATTCATAGTGCAAGAAATATAATCGAAATGAATTTAGCTAGATCACTTATTTACTTATCGACGTTCATCGTCTTAGTAAAAGTATTTAAACTAAATAGTAATCGAAAATATTATTTGATAAGCAATTCCAAATTGAAAATTTTCAATTGCAAAGTTCGCATCCATTATCAAAGATAATGAGAAATATTTGTTAGACTTCATTTTTGTTTCTGTCATTTTCTTGGTATTTTCATATCATCTAGAACTACTATACCAGTGAAGAAACAATTAATAAACATGAATGTACGAGAAGCGTAACAATTCTACTTTTTCAGTTTGATTTGTTATGAAATATTATTTTCTAATTTTAATAAACAACGATACTTTTTCCTACTGAGCTACTGTTATGTTAGAAATAAAAGGTTGTGTAACTAAACTTTCAAATGTCTTCCTTCTGAAAAAATTTACTTATTTGAAGTATAGTTTACCAATCAAAATCAATCCATTTGTTAGTTAATAATGCTAGTTCTAATGATGTATGATCCTTGTGTATTGTAAAAAATATCAGTGTATAAAAAAGAACCTTCGACACAAAATAGAAGAGTGATATACTATTTTTAGTTATGAAGAAAAAGATGAAAACAAATCCATTTTTGAATAGAGTATCAGCTAGTGCAAAACAAAAACGATTTTACAATCTGCTATGTAGAGTACAAAGCAGATGAGAGAAGATGATGATATTGTACACTATCATGAAACGAAAAAAAAAAATTTTTTAATATATTTTTACATTTGTTAGAAAGATTTTGTTTTTTCAAGTATATAAAAATTTATATAAACTTTGTTGTAGATATTATTTTGTCAGAAAAATAAAGATGACATTCACATTTAAATGTTATCAAAACAATTTTATGATCAACAATTTAAATATTGTTTCATTTGGAGGTAAATTATAATTTAAAATTTAAAAAAAAAACCTATAAAAACTACATATAATGACTTTTTTTTAAAGACTGTTTTGGTTCTATTATTGCATGTATGGCTTTTGCACTATTGATTGAATTAAATCGAGGTATTGATCTTTACCTTCGACATTATTCATTAACTAGAAGTAATGTTAATAGACATCAATCAATTACTTTGTCGGAACAAACAATCCGAAGACGACGGTATTTCAAAGATGAAATTTAAATTTTATGAATTCCATGTTGTTTCATTCAGATTTATGCTTCATATGTTACGTACACTTGTATATTTGGCTCAAACTGCTTTGAGTTATATATTAATGTTAATGGTCATGAATAATTTTGCTGGGTTTTTTCTTTCTGCTATAATTGGTATGATCATTTATTTGTTGAAATGATTTGTTCATACATTTGAATATTCATTTATTTAGCTCTTGGTATCGGTTATTATCTTTTAAATGGTGTTCATCCGTATACACGTAGTGCTAATGATATTCATATATCAAATGCAAATAGTGATCTTACAAACCCAACAGATATTTTAAACGAAGATGAACCATCAGTTGTATCACGAACAGCTTGTTCACATGAAAGAAGAACGTCGATAAACACTTGATAAATTTTCTTATATGTATTATCTTCACTACTATCATTATGTGTTTCTAACAGATAAACTATACAGTAGTTTTTTCTTTTTGCGTCGTTCATCTATTTTTTTTTGTCACATCCCAGTAATTCAATATAATACGAATGTTTTCAGTTAATTAAAGTTTGAGTCAATTAAATCTTCGTCAATAGAAATCTTAGATGTCTGCAAAGGAAATTCTTACAGAAACAAAACAACTATTAAAAGAATTTTAAGAATTTTTTCTATTAGAAAAAAACTAATTTCAAAGCCACTATTTCTACATTCAAGTAAACAATTGATATTTTACTTTTCTTGTCTTCAATATATGCCAATATGATGGATCAGTGAACGTAGAAAAAGAACATTATGATATGCGTGCGTATATAAATGATAACAGAGTAAAAAAAAACATATCAATAATTGGCATATAAAAAGTAAAATCAATCAATGGAACATTATTTTAATTGTTCCTATTCATTTAATATTGAAAAACCTTTCTACAAGTATGATATACATATAAAAATCAGTTCATCACTCTGATTCAACATTAAATCGATTTTATATGCACACATCTTCATTGATTCATTCTTCAAGTGAAATATATGAGACTTCTATTTCTTGTAAAATCGAAAGAAAAACCAATCGATGAAGAATACTTGAACAAAAAAGCAATTTTTATTCAATAATATGTATTTATATATATATGTAAGTAACTTTAAAGTTATCTTCTTTCAATATTTTGTATCTATTTCCATATATCCAAACATTATTCTTCCCTTATGTTTGTTTATTATTTATGCCCAAAATTAAAAAATAAATTTTTTAGTATTGTAAAATCATTCTGGTTTTATAAATTTGTATATCGCCACAATCAAGTACACGTGAGTAATGATGGACAACTTAATACTGCAGGTTGTTTGGATATAGCTATTTGTCCTCAAAGACCTATTAAAATACATAGTTTATAATATCGTTCAATTTTTAGAATTTTTTTTTCTTTTATAAATAAAATATACTTGACTATCAAATAATTTTTCCAGTTGAATTGCAAAACGAAAATGAATTTCTAACCGAAAGCAATGAAATAGAATGCAAATAAAAGAAACGTAAAATACGTCGTTGTCAGGTCCTACTTGTGCATCTCTAATCAAGAGTTTTATAGGATAAAATTCAGATTTTGACGTATTTACATCATTTAGCAACACATGAGTTCTAGGCCAAATAGAACTTAATATCCTGTTAAGCAAAGTCATAATGTAAATGCTTCAATTATACTAATTTTGTCATAATAAAAACAAGAATACGACAAAAGAGACTGGTGTAAAGTTTAAAGATCCAACAGTATCGAGTATTTTCTTTTTATCCAAATTCTGAAAAAGAACCTTCTTCCAATCTATTTCAGTTTATTGACTTGTCGAATTCATGAGAATCATGAATTAATAATCCTTCTTGATATATGTCTCTAGCCTTTGCGTTTTTTCTTATAATAAAAACAGGTTATGTCAATTCTGAAACGCACAGTTTTTTAATTAACAGTCTGTGATAATATATATATATATAAAGTATAAAACGGACTTTTTGCTTCTAATAACTGTCATTTAGACATCTGGGTCAAAATAAACTTTTCATCGGCACACTAACAAAATTAAAATATACGCTGTCCTTGTCATACACAAGTCGAAATAGTCAAATTTTAAGGTATTTACATCACATATACATACCTTGGAATTCAAAATACTAGCAAGGTTTCTTTTTTTCTTGATGATTGGATAGAGCTTATCGAGTTGCATAAGAAAAAGTATGCTTCGAATATAAGGGAAAATAGAACCCAAATTCTAACTTTTATAAAAATTAAGGTTTTTGATAAAAAAAAACCTTGTTTTTGTATTATAAATTTTCCGGCTAATATTCGAACCTTCTAATTCTCATATCGAAAATTCTCGGCAGCCGATTTTTATTCGGCCAATTTTCACTTTCCCATTTTCCTGAACATCTTTTGTTTAAGATTAAACAATGATCATTTAATACATGTGTTTAGATACTGAACGAGAACGTTTATTACTTCATTCAAAAGAGGCTAATAAAGTGCAAGATTGATTGATAATCTCGAATTGTTTTCTTTATTGTACTCTTGTATTTATTATTTTTCCATGTGTAATCAAACAGATGATATGGTCAAAAGGTGCAAGTATTTTATTAAGGCGCGACGAGGTTGGGTGGGTAACGAAAAATTTTCCTCGTTTCAGTCTTTAGTAGGTATCGACATAGAAGCTTGGAAGATACCGTCACATGATTGTAGCTAAACTGAGATACTCTCATCATATATAGCGCTTGTTACGAAGAAACGATGGTTGTGAAGAAAAGAAAAAAACTGCATATCTCTACATATGCTTGACAATGATTTCAACTTTGATCGCCATAAAAGGTAACCCAAAGATTTTTTTTTAAACATTGCAGTTAATCCCTTTACGTCAGGGTTATTTTTAGTGAAAAACTTGTTCGTATTTAATGAAAAAGTAGACCTTTAGTACAATCTATAACAAGCTTGTGCCTCTGAAAGTCAAAATGGTCTTTTCCATTGGTGGAAGCCCCAGAACCTAATAAACTCCATCTTTTATAATATTATTTTTATTAGAAGTGTCTGAATATATGATAGGTCTCAAAAACAGGTTGCTATGCATAAGCCAATATTACATTTTCTGCTTCGAATCACGAATTGTAATGGTGTGATGATGCCATACTGTAATATCGACAGAAGGAAAGAAAGGAGAAAGAATTTACAAGTATAAACT